TACATACATATATACATATATTCATATGCATTTATATATATATATATATAGATCTCTGAACGTATCTATATAGATAGATGGATAGATATATGAATGTATGTACAGATACATACATGCTCATGCTTTAGATATATGCATAGATGTGTATGCCACAACTCGTACCGGACAAACCGGGCAAGTGGCAAAACACAAGGATAATGATGACCCTTATGTACATATGTAGAGAGATTTAGGCACAGATGTATATATATATGTGTGTATATTTATGTATGTATATGTTTACTAAATTGTGTGCTTATATGTAAATATACATATACATGAAGGCATACCCACGCATATATGTATATGTATACATATATACATAAAAAGGCAAGTGAGTGCGTCTTTTGTAAGACAACATGGTGATATAGGTTCATAAACTACAAGTAGCATATTGCAATATAGTATAGACGACACCCAATGGTCTAGACAATCACAACTCAGGAAGCCAAGAACAGTGAGGATGGAGTGAAGATGACGACCTGCATACATATATATATATATATATATGTGTGTGTATATATATATGCATATATGTGCATTTATGTGCGTATGTAGGTGTGGGTATATGTATATATGTGTACATAATTAACATGGAGACAAAGTTGATACATGAGTCCCAACGATAAGGTCTTCGGACGACTATATGTTGTGCACACCTTCGCCTATTAAGCTGGCCCATGCTAGCAACTGCATGAAGATTCCATTGCAAGTATGGTAGCACGTCTGTCGTCGGATGTCTTTAGTCTTTGGTACGGCTTGTATGTTTACTTTAACCTATGTTGAATCTTGCTTGCGTTGTACTTGTCGCTTATTAAGGGTTGCTGTGATAACATCCACATAACAAGCAAATCTTTTTGAGTCCGTAAGGTTTCAAATGCTAACAGCATAACTGTACCATTACTTCGCTACACAGATACATGTGACGTTTCGTATTTTCGTGCTAACCCTCAACAAAGGATGGAAGCTGATCAACACCCACGGAACTGGATGTATAGCTCTCAGCTATAAGCAAAGTCACCTTCAGGCATGCGTAACAGCATACGAGCATATGTTCATGCAAAGCCTTCGATGCACCCGAATATTGCCATGAAGATATAACCGTAGAGGCGAAGCTTTGACGAAGTGAGCAACTAGTACTTTTCATCTATATATTTGGCTACGTTTGGGGGATATGGAACACACACACATATATATATATATATGCAGACACACATATGCACATTTTTCTTATATTGGTATACTTGTCTTGGCAGTAATCTTGCAATTGGTGAGTATACGCCGTGTATACATACCCCTGTATTATGAAAACGGGTCTGTGTGTGTATATATATATAGATTGTATATATGTCTGGATGTATGTATGTGTGCATGCATGCATGCATGCATGCATGCATGCATGTACGTTTAAATGTATCCTGAACAGATAAATATAAATACATATATATATATATATACATATATGCGCACACACTCATGCGCTTGCACATTTATGTGTTTTTGCATAAATCTACATGTATTGGGAACAGCTAAGGCTAAGGGTTTTATACCAATAGAATAGTGCTGCCGATATTGCAGCATGTAATAAAGTGGTAAAGTAGCCAACAACACGGAAACATGCAATTTTGAAGTCCTCTCTTGTTGGCACGAAGTGACGACCTCCCGCAGATTCCCTGTGCGCAGGTAGCCTCGCGTGGAAAACCAACAACACGACCAGGGACAGGGCAAGAGAACCCAAAAAACAAAAAACACAGAACAAACAATATTCAGAAACTCTCAGAAATACATATGGATGAGGCCAAAGTCTCGAAACATTGTTTTTGTTTTTGTTGTTTTTTTTTATTTTCGTGGTTGTGTTTGATCTTTTTGGCTGTTTTGTTTTTTTGTTTTCTTTGTGTAATGGCGATCTTTTGGTTTTTTATGTTTGTCTTACCGTTTTTGGTTGTTTTTTCCACGTCTGCAGGGGTTGTACTATCTGTCGATGTGGTTATTTGTGATTTCTGACTGTGTTTGGGGTGGGTGGGAGCGTGTAAAACACGCAAAAAGCGCGCTCTCACAGTGTCCCGTTTTGTAGCAATACGTACATACATACATACATACATACATACATACGTACATGCATACATACATACATACTTCCATGTACATATACATATACATATACATATACATGCATACATACATACATACATACATACATACATACGTACATATATATATATATATATCTGAGAACTGTACTTTCTCATTCTCATGCTCGCCCATTAAAGCTGCGGCCCCTTGTCTCGTTCCCCGAGCAGAGCTGGTTGCCATAGCATGTCAGCAATTCAGGGTCTCGTTCGAGCATATGCCATACACAGCTGCACGCCAGGCGCAACACCAGCAGCAGCAGTAAAAGCTCACGTAGCAGTAGTCATTTCAGTAGTCTTTGTGAGAGTTTAAACAAAATGACTTTGAGATTCTGGAACCACCTCTGTAATGCGGACCTATCTCGTGGTCTTACCTCGTCTGGCATCTCGTTCTGATCCGATGCTCGAGGCCAGGCTTTGTCATGCCACAGGTGATATTCTAGCCACTGCTGTTGGTCCGCGGTCAGGCTGGCGCTATCATCACAAGCATATGGGAGATATAAGACAAACATGTGTAATGCCTACGCTGATTAGCCAGCTCGTTCTTACCCCCCAAATTGTTGCCCTACGCGATTCCACGCGGCGACAGCGATGCGGCGACAACACGGTGCGGCGGCGACGACGACGCGGCGACGCAGCGGCGAGGTAGGGTATGGAGGTAGAGGCAAAGGGAGCCGCGGCAACGACGCGGGGACGTAGGCGCTTGGTGCCTTCACTTGGTGGGATAGAGGCAGCGCGGCGACGACAACCTTGGCTTGGGCTGTTGATGACGTGGAGAACCTTGTGAAGAGAGTTGTGCTTATTTGCCTTACTAGGCCAGGCGCCTCACCAGGCGCGGCCCCTATCTCGTTCATCAAGGAACGCAGGCAAAAGCAGACAAAGTCGGCCGATTATGGATTGTTCTGCATCTGCTTGTTTTTATAAATTTATGACACCCACCGCTGTGGACGAGCACTCGCAGACACACAAGGGGTCCCAGTCTGGGGCCTCGTCCTCCTCCACCCCATGAGAACAACCAAAACACTTGCGAGCCATGTGCCTGCACAACATTTCTATCCTTCGCGACCTCTTGAAAGGTTTGGGAGTGGGGCCGGGAAGCGACACTGACACAAGTCTCGGTGGCTGGCGCTGGCACGACGTGCTTACAAGACTGACTTGGATTGCTCATGAAGGTCTGGTGCCTGCAGCACCAAGTGGCCCTGGCTACACTCGATTATTCTAACACCTCTTCGGTGCTCGAGGTCCAGCTCCTGGCAATGTTCCATCTTGGCACCGCAACAAACTGAGCAATGGCTTGAGAACACACCGCGGTCCAGCAATGAATCAGGATCTGTGTCCACGTCCCAGTGCAGCGAGAGGTCACTGCCGTCCTGTGCGAACGTACACAACACGGCCAACAGTCGCCAAAAAGAAGAACAGCAGTAGCAACACCAATAATTCCAGCAGCAGCAGTCGTCGATCGTCGTAGTCGCAGTGGTGCAGTAGTAGTAGTAGTAGTAGTAGTAGTAGTAGTAGTAATAATAATATTACTACTACTACTACTACTACTACTACTACTACTACTACTACTTCTTCTACTACTACCACTACTACAACTACTACTTCTGGTGTAGTAGTAGTAGTAGTAGTAGTAGTAACAGTAGTAGCAGTAGCAGTAGTAGTAATAGTAGTAGTAGTAGTATCAGTAGTAGTAGTAGTAGTAGTAGCAGCAGTAGTAGTAGTAGTAGTAGTAGTAGTAGTGGTCGTAGTCAACTTAGTAGCCGTAGTGGTCGTAGTAATAATCTAATAGTCGTTGTCGTGGTTGTGGTGGTGGTAGTAATACTAACAAGAGTAGAAACCGTAGCAGCAGTAGGCGTCGTAGACGTAGTAGCAGTAGCGATAGCAGTAGCA